TTTCTAATTGGAATGTTCATAACTTCAAAGCACAATGTGATACCATTCAAAACCATTTCCCCCCCGAAGATAGATAGGTAAATAAGTGATTAAGAAGGCATTTGGGATCTGTTGCTTTATTAGCTGAAATTCAAAGTAGAAGAGGAGAAAGGCTATGTAGAATCTATATGAAAAAGCAATTAAGCCACAACTAGAACATTACATACTGTTCAAGTCACCACATTATAGGAAGGAGGCAATCTCACTAGAAAGGATGCAGATGATTTATGGGAATGTTGCCAGGAATGGAGAATGGTCAATGGTGGGATCTTGAATTCACTGCTTGAAAGGGTGATTCATCATAAAGCATTCATTATAATAAAAATACTTTGACATGCATGGAAGTGGGGGAATTGATCATGTAGTGGTATTGTCACCAAAACAGTAGTCCAGGGAACTAGGCAGTATGGTGGAAACCCAAATTTAAATCCCATTATAGCAAATAGTGGAAATTGAAGTGTAAACATAAATGTTTAATAATAATTTTGAAATAATAAAAACCCAATCAAGTTCATAAATGCCCTTTCGGAAGCAAAAACTGTCAGCCTTACCTGGTCTGGCCTATATGTAACACCAGACTCACAGCATTGTGGTTGACTCTTACCTGCCCTCTGAAATGGCTTAGCAAACTACTCCATTGTATCAACCGCTAAAAGGTCTCAAAAAGAATGAAACTGGAAGGACCACTCAGCATTGTCCTATGTACTAGAAACAACAGCAGCAAGCTGAGCCCTGTCAAACTTGCAAATTCCTCTTATCAAAACTTGGGGGCTACTGCTAAAATCATGTGGGCTGTCAAGTAACGTAGTCATGATGTACTCACATCCACCTAATCATACCTTACACATAACCGCCCAGACAACACAATGCCCATTCCTGGGGTATGTTCTTATCAACCAGTAGGATGGTCCCAGCAGTGGTGTTGGCACCGTAGTGTACATTTGGGAGTTGCCCTGAAAGTTCTCAACATTGACTTTGGTCCCAGGTATCAGGTTACGTAAAGGCAAAGAACTCTCCTACTGATTACTATGTATGGCCCCTCCTGGGCTAATGAATCAGTATTCCTCCACGTTGAACACCATTAGGAGGAAGCACTGAGGGTATCAAGTGCACAGAATGTACTCTGGATGGGGGACTTCAACGACTGACTGAGCCGGTTGAGTCCTAAAGGGCATTGCTGCTAGATTGGCTCTGCACCAGTTGTGAGAGAACCAACAAGAGAGATACTTGACCACATCCACACCAAGCTGCTTGCCATCGTATCAGTAAGAATGACTACCACACCAAACTTTTGGAGAAGACGTCCCGTCTTAACGTTGAAGATACACTCCATCATGTTATGTGGCACTATCCTTAAACAGAACTAGCAACTCAACACTCTGCATTAATGATTTACAGAGGGCAATCAGCAGCAGCAGAACTGTACTCCAAGACTGTCTGCAACATCATGGCCCTCCTTTCCATAATAATGATCAAGGCAAGGAATCAACACGATTCAATTAAGAGCGAAGGAGGGAATGCCAACAGCAGCACCAAGTGGACCTAAAAATGAGGTGTTAACCTGGTGAGGTTACTTGGCCAGATTTCTCAAGGCCTGAACAGCTAGGCCCGAAACCAGGCTACCTTTGAGCAGCCTGGCCCAAAGGGACTTTCAGGACAATCACAAAGTATCCGCACAGGATAAAGGCACGTTAAGGACAAGTTCAGAACTGTCCTTAAAAACAGGACTGGTTTGTGTAATGGAGTATGGTCAGCAGACTTGCTGAAGGCCCAGTTTCTGCTATGACCCTGTATGGACAGATGTATCCTTGACACATTAGGGATCCTTTGGATGCCGTTGACTTGACCTGGAAGATCAATTGGCTGACAGATAGAGAACATTCTGGAAAGACACAGCAGTGATGGATAAGGAATGAATGGTGGCCATTCCCTCAGCAAAGATGCAATCTGACCCAACAGCAGAGCCCCGACCACCTGGTGAAAGAAAGATGATGTCTACATGCAAGCCCAATCTTCCCCAAGTTCATGACAGCCAGCTACACAGCCTGGCCAGGTTTAACTGCACGGGTAATACCTGGTCCTAGTATTTTAGATAAAAATTGCGTCAAAGTTTTAACGTTGCAATTGGTAGAGTAATTAATTTAAGATTTGGGAGTTTTATTGCAAAGAGCAGGGTGTTAGATAATATTGAGCTAAATGGCACCTTTCATGTCTTTAGCGTATTTTGTGAATAAAATTGCATTGAATTGCAAGTCAACTCTGATCCTTCTTTCTCACAAGTGTAGCAATCAATCAAAGAGTTTCTGTAGAAATAGTGTTCAAAGCATAGTTACAAAACAGCACTAATTAAGTGTTAAACTGCATCAAACGACAGACAGTTAGGTGATTCCAGAACCAGCAGATCAGATTTAAGCCTTGCAATCTTGCCACATCCATTTGTGACTGGTGATGGTCACTGAAGGAGGAGGAGAGTCTGCAAAATATACCCATCTTCAATAATAGAGGAGCCCAGCACAGCAGACCAGAAGATGAGACTGAAGCAGTCACAACAATCTTCAACCAGAAGTACTATTCACCTCAACGTCATAGATACCGGCCTTCAGCCAAATCAATTCACTCCACCTGGTATCAAGAAATGGCTGGAGGCACTAAACACTGCAAAGGCTGCGTGTTCTGACATAATTCTGGCAACAGGTCTGCAGATGTGTATGCCATACTTTGGCGTGCACTTAAAGCTGTTCTAGTACAACCACAACACTGACATCTCCTAGATTATGTGCAAAGTTTACCCAGTTATGTCCTGTACACAAAAAGTCAAAAATTACTGCCCCATCAGTCTACACTTGGTAACCAGTAAAGGACTTTCAATCTAGCTATCACACAGCACTTGCTTAGCAATAACCAGCTTACTGATACTCCATTTGGTTTCTGTTAAGGCCACTCAACTCCTGACCTCATTGCAGCCCGAGCTCGAATATGGACAAAAGTTTGAATGCCAGAGACGAGAGGAGAGTGAATGCCCTTGACATAAAGACAACATTTGACCAAGTGTGATATCACGAAGGCTTAGCAAAATTGGGATGAATGGGAATCATGGAGAAACTGTCTATTTTTTGAGTCATACCTGGTAAAAAAAAGAAGATGGTTGTAGTTGTTGGAGGTCAGTCATCTTAGCTCCAAGTGTACCTCGGTCCAACTATCTTCAGCTGTTTCGTAAATTATCTTCCTTCTATCATAAGGTCAGAAGTGGGGATATTCATTGATGATTGCACAATTCCTCATTTACTGAAGCAGTCTATGTCCAAATGCATCAAGACCTGGACAATATCCAAGCAAGGGATGACAAATGGAAAGTAACATTTGTGTCACACAAGTGCCAGGCAATAACAACCTTCAATGTGAGAATCTAACCACTCCCCATTGACATTCAATGAAATTACCACTGTTGAAATCCCCAATACTATTTCAGCATCCTGGGGTGATCATCAACTCAAAAATGAACTGGACCAGTCATATGTTGTAGCGACAAGAACATGTCAGAGAATAGGAATCCTGTGGTGAATAATTTACATCCTGACGACCCAAGGCAAAAGTCAGGATTGCAATGGAACACTCCTGATTTGCCTGGATTAATGCAGGTACAATAATACTCAAGACAATCCAGGGCAAAGCAGCCCACTTGATTGGCACCTCATCAACAAGCATCCACTCCCTTCACCACGGACGCTCAGTAGCAGATGCATTGCAGAAACTTACCAAGGTTCCTTCAACAGCACCATCCAAACCTACAGTCACTACCATCTAGAAGGACAAGGGTAGCAGATACATGAGATAACCGTCATTTTCAGGTTTCCCTCCAAGCCATCTCATCCTGAGTTGGAAATACATCACTGTTCCTTCAGTGCCACTGGTTCAAAAGCCTAGAACTCCCGTTCTAATGGATAGCGTGGGTCTACACCAAATGAATTGGAGTGGTTCAAGAAGGTGGCTCACTACCACAGTCTCAACAGCAATTAGCGATCAGCATTCTCCCTAATTTTCTTTCTGGCTGCACGCGTCTCTGAGGTCCACATGCGGCAGTCAATACCGTGATCGCCAGAACTTCGGAGAGGCAGTGTGCCTGCATAGCCAGGCAGCTTAGAGGGCACTTTACAAGGAATGGACAATAAATGCTGATCCAGCCGGTGAAGCTCAAATCCCATTAAAAGATGTTTAAAAAGTGCTGAAATCTACAAGGGCACAGACCAAAATCCGGAAATGTTGGATTGCTGTTGTACAGCTGGCACAGATACAATGGGCCGAACTGCCTCCTCGGTAACCGTTCGATGTTTCTACAGAGGAGACTCATAATTAAAGACATTGTCGGAGTGATGAGCTAGTGGCTTATAAATCAGAAAAAAACAGAGCAAGGGTCGGGTGGGTACAGTGCTAGCTACTCAGACTGGCAAAAGATAGAAAATTGTGTCCCGGGGAGACCATTGTTTTCGGTTTTTATTAAACATTTCAGGCTCTCCAGTCAGACACACTGCTGTATTGTTAAATTCTTGAACAGCTCTGAAGGCGAGATTTAGTTAATACTTCAATACGCTGCGGGACCGGTGAATAACTTACAAAAGGGCAGAACTCGCTAAAAATGTAAATGCCCCACTTAAAATGTGAGGGTTTCTGGAAGCAGAGTGGGCTGCCGAATGGTGTCTCTGGGTTCTGACCCTTTCCTCCGTGTTACTCGCCAGTCTTCCTTCACCTTTTGTCTTTGGTGCGTTAGCTTTCCCCTTATTCAAGTCACTCTCTTTGTCTTGAAGTCAGCTTTTCAACTATCTCCCAGGCAGCAAACAGGTCCCGGTGCGTGTCTGTGTGAACGAGAAGGTGTGATGAGAAACCGGTTAGTTTGGGGTGGGGTGGGGGGAGGTGCTGGACGTATTGCGTGTTGTGTCCCTCCCTCCGCCCCCGCCCCTCGCGGACCCGGAGTCAGAATTGGAAAAAGTCTGAGGCACTTGGAGTTAGAGAGAGGGAGAGTTCCGCGGCTCGAGCCTCGCCCATTGCGGGAGAGCGCGTACTGTCCAGGCTCTGTCTCACACCCCGCTTCAACCTTCATTAACTGTATCCCTCCTTCCTCTCTGCTCGTGTATAAGCTCGAGCTTTCTCCCCCTGTGAAGAGAGGGCATTTAGGTCACAATGTTCCACTTCAGGATTTTAACTGTTTTAGGTGAGTTTATCTCTTCTTTTATTCTCCCTCAAAACGTTCAAATGGTGCACGGCAAAGTCGGTTCCTTCAGGAAAACATTCAAGAGATTGAGCAGAAAAGAAATCATTGCATGCGGCTGAGAGCAATTAACTTTTTTTTGTTCTTGCGAAGCGCGAATTTCCTCAGAGAAGTGTTTTAAAATGTATTGTCTGCCAAATTCGCAGGTTTTATTTGTAGGGAATGTGCCCATCAGTTAAAGTGATGAGTTTCTCGTGTTCTGAGTGCTAATTGTTTTTGCACACTTTCAAACGATTATTATTGCAAGATATAGTGGTTATTTGTTATAAATTCCGCACATTGTCGCTTAATTAGTGCGGAGATTTGTTCAAATAAAGCAAGAACTGAATCCATTCAAGGGATATCCCCTCTATCAGTTGTCTGATTCTAAGATAATTTTAACGATAAACTTTTTTACAAGTTATAATTTACTGGGAGAGTTCAATAAAATTTGCATCTTAAAAAGAAAGGTATAAACTGCAACTGTGGATCGACCTATTTCCTCCGCCCCGCCAGAGTTGTTGAGTAATAGAACTAGCTTTTAAAGTTAAATTTTAATGACATCTGTGTTTGATACTGTTGTTGGCGTACCTTTTAACAGATCTCACAGACTTCTGTTTCCCAGACCTTTAGAATTTTTAAATAGCTATTTTAAAAGCAGCCAGATTAGTAACCTGTGATTGCCAGTGTTCCTAAATGAGAGGAATGAGATAATCAACAAAATATACTCTTGCAGAGCAGATGTTTCGCATAAACCAGCATACCAGTGCTGTGGAGCAACAAAGTTCCCTCAATCCCTTCAATTGTATTTCAATATTGAAAATCTTACCTGAATTTGGAACTTCAGAAAAAGGCACATTTGTGTTAACATTTGGTTGACTGGATGGCAATGTAGAAGGGAGCCAGAAATATCTCTGATTAAGACAGGTATCAAAATACACTCATTCTAATGTATCCATCTGAGTTGATCTGTGATCTATCTATTGAGCGTTACACTTTTGCAGTCAAGTGTTTTAACCTATTATGCAATCTTCATGAGAATACATAACAAATCTTAAACAATGCATTAGGGAAAATAATCTAGTACAGTGTGTCTTATTTTAGATTAGTGTATTTGAATGCTTCGAACTGGATATTTACCTGAAGGTGGGAATTACAGGGAATGGGAGTTGGACATTTTGACAGCTGGCAGAGGTGTAATAGCCTGAATGGCTTTATTCTGAGCAATATGATCCTGTGGTAGCGGTAGATATCTTTCCAGCTATTATGTGCTGTAACCTGACATGCTTTTTGTCTTTCAGTCACACTTTGGCACTGTGCTATTGCACAGGGGCCAGAGTTCAGCTATGGATGTGCCGAGGGAAGCTGTTACCCAGCCACAGGAGACCTGTTGATTGGGCGAGCAGATAGACTATCTGCTACATCCACCTGTGGTTTGCATAAGCCTGAGCCCTTCTGCATTGTCAGCCATCTTCAGGTATGATATGCATGTGTGGTTGTGAGAATTTTAAAAATCAAGTCTGAAATGTAACAGAAATATAGTGGTGTTCTGGAGCCGGGCATATAATTTGCTTTTGTCTGCAGATTAAATGACCAGCTGCTCTGTTAATAGCTTGGTCTTCAGCCTGTTCGTGTAGCACAGGTGCTAACATGGTAAGACTGGGATACAGCAAATGTTACCTTGATAGGAACTACTAGGCTATTTCCATTGCACAATCACTTGAAAGAAAACTGCTTTGTAATGTTTTCTGTGTCCGATCATGTGGAAAGTACTCTAATTGTACTGTGGATCAAATTGCATTGATCAAAAAGACCTATGCATGCAGCTGAAAGTGCAGTTTTAAGATGGTTTTATGCTGAGATTAACACTGGTGCCATCCGCCTATGGAAGTGTGGATCTTGTGCAAAGCAAATGCAAAACTGACACTCTGCAATAATTTGTTCAGGTTCTTAATGCCTAGCTTGTAGAAAAGTATGGCTGAAAACTGTATGGAGAATGATATACCTGAAAATGCCATATTGAATAGAAATGTCTAGCTTTAGGTGGTCATTATACTGATATTTTCAATATTTGCCCGAAAGGAACTTGTCTCCAGTTGAGATAACACGGTGTAGAGCTGGATGAACACAGCAGGCCAAGCAGCAGCCTTCCTGCTCCTCTGATGCTGCTTGGCCTGCTGTGTTCAT